AGTTCTTGTGTTCTTCTATGCGTGCACTTATTCGTCTGTTGGTTTGTCCGATGTATGTGGTGGGGCAGGTGGTGCATGGGATTTCATATACTCCTTGATTTTCTAACTCAATTTTGTCTTTGGGGTTCCTTAGGATGGTGGATATTTTTCGGTTTGTGCAGAATGCTGTCTTAATGTTATGTTTGTGGAGGATTTTGCTTATTCTGTCTGTGGTGCCTTTTATGTATGGGAGGAGGGCTTTGCCGTTTTCTTGTTCTCTGTCTTGGATTTTAGTGGGGGTTTCTTTTTGGATTAGGTTGGTGATCTTATTTCTTTGGAATCCATTGGATGTTAGTACGTTAGTGAGAGTGTGTAGTTCGGTTTTTAGGTGTTGTTCGTCAGCTAAGCGTTTTGTTCTGGAAATGAGTGTCTTGGCTACAGAGTTGATCTGGGCAAAGTGGTGGTGTGAGAGTGCGTGCAGATAGCGGTTTGTGTGTGTTTTCTTCTGGTAGATAGTGTGTCCTAGGGAGCCATTGGATTTTCTGTAGACTAAGACATCCAGGAAGGGAAGTTGGTTGTTCGCTTCTGTTTCCATGGTGAACTGTATTTTGGGGTGTAGGCTGTTGAGGTGTGTGAGGAAGTTGTCCAGTTTTTCTTTCCCATGTGGCCAGATTATGAAGATGTCATCTACATATCTGAGCCAGAGTTTGAGTTTGTGATCGGATTTTTCTAGAGCTTGGGTTTCAAAGTATTCCATATAGAGGTTGGCAATGACAGGTGAGAGGGGTGATCCCATGGGTGCTCCTTCTATTTGTTTGTATTTCTGTCCATTATAGATGAAGTATGTGTTGGATAGGCAGTGGTTGGTCAGATCTAAGATGTGCTTGGGGGGGTTATATTTGTTTTGGATAACTGTCAAGGCTTCTTTGATTGGTACTTGGGTGAAGAGGGATATGACATCGAAGCTCACGAGTAGGTCACTGGGCTGTAAGTTTTGTTGCTTTATGATGTCTATGAACTGGAATGAGTTTTTTACGTATGAGGTGATGGATTCTGCATAGGGCTGTAGTTGTTTGGCGAGAAATTTGGCTAGGTTTTGTAGAGGTGAGCCTATGGAGCTGACTATGGTCTAAGTGGGGTTCCTTCTTTGTGTATCTTGGGGAGACCATAAAGCTTAGGGCATCTGGATGATTTCTCTCTGGGAATGATTCTTTGCTGAATCTCTTCGCTGATGGGGGAGGCTTTTATTTTGGATCTGGTGGTTTTTTCCAGGTAGGTGGTGGGGTCTGTGTTTAGGGGTTTGTATATGGAGTCTTGGAGTAGGTTGGTTAATTTGGTTTGGTAGTCAGATGTGTTCATAACCACCGTGGCGTTTCCCTTGTCTGCTGGTAGGATTATTATGCTCGTGTCTTCTTTCAGGTTAAGTAGTGCTGTCTGTTCCTCTTTGGGTAAGTTACTTTTGGGTGGCTTGCTGGTGCAGAGGATGTTGGTGATTTCGAGTCTGATTCTGTTAGCGTCGTCGGGGTTGACTTTGGTCAGGCTGGTTTCAACTCCTCATATAATGGTTTCAGTGGGGATGTGTTTGGGAGCGACTGCAAAGTTGAATCCTTTGGAAAGGACATTGGTTTCGACTGTGGTGAGGATCCTATCTGAGATGTTATGCACTGTTTGTTTCATGTATGGCTGTGGGGGGGGGGAGAGGTTTGTTTCTGGCATTCTTGTAGTCTTCGGAGTTTGTTAGTGTATGTGTCTGTCTTGAGGGATATATATATAGAGATATATATGACAAGCCTGAAAGTGATGATTTGAGATATCATCCCACTATGGCCATTTAACAACTTGATCTACATAGAAAAAAAACCCTGACTACAAAAATATCATACATTTGAACCTATGAATTAAAAAGAATACATATATATATTTGTTTTCTCAGGTTTTCGCGGGTGTTTGTATGTAGGCATTTTTCTATCTAAAACTACACACCCTCACTAACGTACTCACATCCAATGGATTCCAAAGAAACAAGATCACCAACCTAATCCAAAAAGAAACCCCCACTAAAATCCAAGACAGAGAACAAGAAAACGGCAAGGCCCTCCTCCCATACATAAAAGGCACCACAGACAGAATAAGCAAAATCCTCCACAAACATAACATCAAGACAGCATTCTGCACAAACCGAAAAATATCCACCATCCTAAGGAACCCCAAAGACAAAATTGAGTTAGAAAATCAAGGAGTATATGAAATCGCATGCACCGCCTGCCCCACCACATACATCGGACAAACCAACAGACGAATAAGTGCACGCATAGAAGAACACAAGAACTCAGTCAGAAAAGAGGAACCAACTTCTTCCCTGGTCCAACACCTTAAAGCCACAGGACATGATATTGACTTTAAAAAGACCAGAACTATCGCCAAAACCGAACACTTTAACAACACTTTAACAACGGAATAATCAGAGAAGCCATCGAGATAGAAAAACGCCCACACAGCATGAACAAACGAGACGATACCTCCTGCCTACCAGCCATTTGGAAACCCGCTCTTATTGACAAACAAGTCCCTAACACGACGAATGACACCAGACCCACACTCACGAGAGCCACACAGGATGTCACCACCACACATCCACGCAGAAAGCAGACTCAAACCCACACTGATAATGAGCCACGACCAAGGACCAGAAGCCAGACCGCAGCTGCATCATTAGCCACTTTAAACCCCTCCAATCCATACATGAAGCAGACTGACACCCACCATGAAGAGCTCGCACGGCCACAAACACGAAGCCAAACAACAACAACGCAGCTCTCCAGCTCAAATCCCCCTGCAACTCAGACTAAGCTGAGCACAACCAAGCCCCCACCCAAACAGAACACACCCCCAGCCAATCAGAGCACAGCCAAGTTCCCACCCAATCAGCTCACACCTCCACTAGCAGTTAAAAGGAAGAGACAGCTGCGATCTCACATTGCTCCTGGAAGCACGAAGCCGAGAACACCAGCCTGAAGATGACGAATGAGACTTCGTCGAAACGTCGCCAAGACACTTCCAATTTTACGTGGGAGAAGACCCGAATAACCAAAGACCTACATATATATATATATATATATATATATATATATATATATATATATGTGTGTGTGTGTGTGTGTGTGTGTGTGTGTGTGTGTGTGTGTGTTTTCTCAGGTTTTCGCGGGTGTTTGTATGTAGGTCTTTGGTTATTCGGGTCTTCTCCCACGTAAAATTGGAAGTGTCTTGGCGACGTCTCGACGAAGTCTCATTCGTCATCTTCAGGCTGGTGTTCTCGGCTTCGTGCTTACAGGAGCAAATTTGCTCCTGGAAGCACGAAGCCGAGAACACCAGCCTGAAGATGACGAATGAGACTTCGTCGAGACGTCGCCAAGACACTTCCAATTTTACGTGGGAGAAGACCCGAATAACCAAAGACCTACATATATATATATATATATATATATATATATATATATATATATATATATACACACACACATATATATATATATATATATATATATCTTTGTGTGTGTGTGTATGTATGTATGTATGTATGTATATGTATGTATGTATGTATGTAACTCTGTCTGTAAGTACACACACACACACACACACAAACACGCAATTTTGAAGAAGTATAGAAAACTGAAAATATCTTCCCAATTTTACTTCCCAAAATATTTTCAAAATAGGTTAACCATCAGTCACTTGTTAGATGGTCCAAAAGAGAGAAAGATGCTGATCAGGTGTATAAATAAAAATTGCAAGGTTGCAAATCTTTCAAACGTAATTATATAACTTACAAATAACTGAAATCAATCTATTATCCAAGGAGGCCAAAACCATCAAAGGTTCTCAGCTGAAGGGAATAGGAATTGAAAAACAACCCATATAATTACTTTTAGAGCCACATGAGGGCACAAAGGGATTGCTTTGTAGGTTTATTTCCACAAATTCTCTTCCTCCTGTTTTATCTGCCAGAACTTCTCTTTGACTGATAGACTCGGACATTTTCTCCATAATAATAGAGTGGAGATGTTGTTTCTTCTGATGTTCTTGGTGCACAGAGTAGCTACTCTAAGATGTCCTGCAAGGGAAGCTTTCCCTGTTCCACATGAGTGGTTCCAGCCTGGTGACCTCATCATTGGTGGGATGGTGTCTCAAATATTTTACAACTTTGATGAAATTGACTTTAAGGACCATCCTTCTCTAAAACCTTATCCCTTACCAGTGTAATATTTTTTTCCCTTCAGTGTTTCCCCAATTTTAGCCAGCTCTCCAAAAATTTCTTATATGATTAAAAGCTGTATGAGCATAATGCAGATGTTGTATCTATTTTAAAGTAATTTCTTTGTCTTTTGAGTGTATCTGGTTGTGGGAGAAGAAATATTATCTTTAAGTTAATGTCTTTCTTGTGTAAATACTTTAAAGTCTAACAGTCTTTTTCACTCATATATTAAATGTTTGCCAAAATAAGTTTTTTTAAAGAATATTCAGTGAATGGAATAGAATTTTTTTAAAAAAAGAAAAAAAATCTGCATTATGACTCCTCACAAAACATGCAAGCAGTAAATGAATGATATTTGTTAAATCTGTTCATATTCTGTTTTATGCGAAGCTGAAAGAAAATAAAAGTAGTCGCTTGGAAAATAGCTTATTATTTTCTTGGCTGTAATGCTTATTTATTGTAAGGCATGGAAATACATGGAAACACTCTATAGATTACTCCAGTATTTTATGATTTGCAATTCTCATTGTCCTACTTCCATCAAATACAAAAACGCATATTATTCATTTGGAAATGATGCCAAATTATAACAATGTTTAAATGTATTAATCAATAGGATTTTTTAAAACTTATTGGCAGTGTAGTCACCAAATTCTACCAGCATGCCCTCGCCTTGGCCTTTGCTGTGAAGGAGATCAATGAAGACTCCCAGATCTTACTTAATGTCACTCTTGGGTTCCACATCTATGACAGTTACTACAATCCAAGGATGACCTACCGAACCACTCTGGACCTGCTTTTCAAATCTAAGGGATTTTTTCCTAACTACAAATGCGATAATCAGAAGAATCTCATGGCCATTATTGGGGGATTAGATGCTTCTGCTTCTTCCTATATGGCAGAAAGTATAAATCTCTTCAAGATTCCGCAGGTAATTTGGGGAGAGCAGGAAGAGATAAATTGGTCTTCTTTTGTAATGAACATTAGAGATCATTCCATTTCTGGATTTTCCCCTTCATTGTCAAGGGCCTTGGAGTACTCATCTCTAATGATCTAAGTGCCAGAGCTCACTGTAACAGCATTGCCAAAAAGGCATTAAGAGTAGTTAACCTAATCTTGCGAAGCTTCTTCTCTGGTAATATTGTACTGCACACTAGGGCATACAAAACCTTTGCTAGACCAATTCTTGAGTACAGCTCATCTGCCAGAACCCGCACTGCATATTAGACATTAATACAATTGAAGAGAGTCCAGAGATATTTCATGAGAAGAGTCCTCCACTCCTCTGCTTACAACAGAATACCTTATTATTATTTTTTTTTAATTTTTTTTTTAATTTGATTTATATGCCGCCCTTCTCCGGAGACTCAGGGCGGCTTACAGTGCGTTAAGCAATAGCCTTCATACTTTTGTATATTTATGCAAAGTCAGCTTATTGCCCCCACAAACTGGGTCCTCATTTAACCTACCTTAGAAAGGATGGAAGGCTGAGTCAACCTTGAGCCTTGGAGAGATTCGAACCAGCAGTAAATTGCAGGCAGCTGTGTTAATAACAGGGTGCTTTAAACCACTGTAGTACCAAGGCTCTTATGCCACCAGGCTTGAAATTTTGGGCTTAGACAACTTAGAACTACGCCGCTTTCGGTCTGACCTAACGGTAGTACACAAAATTATCTGCTACAACATCTTACATGTCAATGATTACTTCAGCTTCAACCACAACAATACATGAGCACACAATAGATACAAACTTAAGGTAAAATGCTCCAAACTCTATTGCAGAAAATAGGACTTCAGCAACAGAGTAGTCAATGCCTGGAATGCACTACCTGACTCTATGGTTACATCCCAAAACCCCCAAAATTTTAACCTTAAACTGTCTACTGTTGATCTCACCCCATTCCTAAGAGGTCTTTAAGGGGTATGCATAAGCTCACCAACATGCCTACAGTCCCTGTCCTAATGTCCCCTTGTATTTGTATCCATTTCATCTATTCATAATAATGTTTATACTTATATCTGTTATCTAATAGGTGCTTAACAAACAAAATAAATAATAATAATAATAATAATAATAATAATAATAATAATAATAATAATACTTGTCTTAACATTATACCTTAACAGTTCCTAGGTCCTTGGTTAGGACTCGAGCTGCTGAGCTATTAACCAGCCTCAAAGGCTGTGAATCTCACTAAAGATTAACCAATAATAATACTTGTCCTAAATAATGACTCTCTCTCTTTGTCTTTTGTTCAGCTGACCTATGGTTCCTTTGCCCAAGAAGAGCTCCAGGCTACTAAGTTATCTTCACTTTATTGCCTGGTCCCAAAAGAGGAACATCAATACAATGGAATTATACAGCTTCTCCACTATTTTGGATGGACATGGATTGGAGTCTTCACTTTTGATAAGAAGAAAGGAGAACATTTCTTGCAGAAACTGAATCCGTTGCTTTCCCAAAATGGGATCTGTTTAGCCTTCACACAAAAGATTCCACAGCAAGCCCTTTTTCAGAACCTATCAGAATATCTTGATCTAATCTCAACTATTTTTAATAGACTGATAGATCAGAAAGCCAATGTTTTCCTTGTCTATGGCGAACCATTCACGATTCTGTGGCTCAGAATTGTTGTGTTTTTACGTGATTATGAAAATAAAGAGAGTGCGTCATTTAGGAGGGTTTGGATCCTGATGTTTCCAATTGATTTCACACTGACAGGACTTCAAAAGAGTTGGGATCTCCAGTTGTACCATGGGGCTCTTTCCTTTACTGTTCATTCAAGAGACATTCAAGGCTTCAAAGAATTTCTTCAAGTCATCAAACCTTCAACCCACAAAGATGGATTTCTTCAAGAAGTTTGGGAGCAAGTATTCGACTGTTCCCTTTCAAATGAAAAATTACCCTCAATGATCAATGAAACTTGCAGTGGAGAAGAGAATTTGGAGAATGTGCCTGCGACTCTGTTTGAGTTGCAGATGACTGGCCAAAGCTACAGTATTTACAATGCTGTTTATGCAGTGGCACATTCTTTGCATGAGGCAGTGAGATCAAGAGCCCCACACAGAAAAAAACAAAGGTTTGAATTTCAAGCTCTGAAGCCTTGGCAGGTGATGCTTCCATGATATACTTACATTGTACATCTTACTCAAATTTAGTTTAACTCTTAATTTCAGTTATTGTTTAAACAAAAATTAATATTTTGAAAAACAGTCTCCATAACAGTACTATTAATGTCTTATTTATGTATCGGAAAATATTAATCTAGATAAGCTTAGATCATATCTGGATAAGCAACCTGGAATTAAGGAGAAACTTCCTAACAGCAAGGATAATTAACCAGTGGAACAGCTTGCCACTAGATATCATGGGCGTTCCATCACTGGAGGTTTCTAAGAAGGGACTGGATGGTCACTGGTATAGGATCTCCTGGTTGAGCTGGTGGGCAGTTTGGCAGTTCGAATCCCAGAGGGTTGGACTAGAAGACCTCCAAGGACCCTTCCACCTCCGTTCTGATGAAAGATTAGATTGAGATAGATAGAAGATAGATGATAGATAGATAGATAGATAGATAGGTAGATAGATAGATAGATAGATAGATAAGAATATCTGAAGAACAAGATTATGGACGGTGTAGGTTTGATTCATTGTTTAAATAGTGACTCTAAATCATATTCAAAATAGATTGTTTTCATTTTGCTGTCGTCAAAGAAACACTGTGATTAATTTAAGAGGTCATTCTGTGTTACAGAATAAAAGGAGATAAAAATAAAACATCATCATCTTCATTTAATGACCCTATAATCCCTGGCGGGGTAGAGATAAAAATAAAACATGTCTTTTGCAAATTTCAGTCTAGCCAATGGTGGTTTTACATCATCCTTGATTCCATAAATAACCATTTTATTTGTATGTAGACTTTTTCTCTCTTTTAGATTTTTTTCAGCCTGGTTCCAAGAAAAATTAAATGGGGACATCTTTGAAAGCAATCTTTCCTTCCTTCCTTCCTTCCTTCTTTCTTTCTTTCTTTCTTTCTTTCTTTCTTTCTTTCTTTCTTTCTTTCTTTCTTTCTTTCTTTCTTTCTTTCTTTTTTATTGTTAATGTGAATATTTCACTCTTCTTAACTGTTTTTTGCAATTTAGTTAAGTCAGAGCTTTTAGGCTGAGGACTTAGAATTTATGAAGACTTCTGCTACTATACCTTTATTATTTCCATGAAGGGGTATTGGTTTTGAGACAGGATAAACTACCAAGAGAATTGTTGAGTTTGTGCTTTAAAGTACTCTTAATCATTAATTAATAAAACAAAACAGAGTCACATATCACAATTATGGATATTTCTTTGTGAGTCAACAGTTTTTCTTCCATATTTCAAGCCAGTAGCCAGTTTTGTTTTTTCGCCAAAGATATATTTTTTTTAATTGAAGCTTCCTTATGGGTAATTATGGGTAATTTGTTTTTCCTGGTTTTGGGGTTATTAGTTTTACGTATAGTTCAAGATTAGATCAGATTAGATTGAGATAGGTAAATGGATGGATGGATGGATGGATGGATGGATGGATAGATAGATAGATAGATAGATAGATAGATAGATAGATAGATAAAAGATAGATGGATGAATGGATGGATGGATGAATGGATGGATGGTTGAATGGATGGATGGACAGGCACATAGACAAGTGAGGGGGGAGAATACTTTTGCTCCATATAAGTCTACCAAGAACCTCTTGAGTCTCAGATACTAAAAGCTGGTTAAAGAAAATTTATTATATCCTAGGATTTCAAATACCTTTGTACCAATGAAGAAGGATATGTAGAGTATACAATCATTGATTTGATTCATTGTTTAAATAGTCAATATAAATCTGAATCATATTAGAAATAGATTGTTTCCATTTTGTTTTTATTGATTGACAATTTTTCCTATCTTTCCTTAAAATCATTAATAGAGAAGATCTGTACAGTTCCATGCAATATAGACTATCAATAATCTCAATGTAGTTATTTGAGCATTACTGTAGGAAAGGGAAGAATGAGTGAATGAAACTTGAATATGATGGTCTCTTCTCTATTATATTGTTCTATGCTCCCTCTCTCTTTCATTCTATTTCAAGTAGCTCCATTCATTTCTTCAAGGCATTTCTTTCAACAATTCAGCTGGGGAGAGAGTGTTCCTAAATGAGAAAGGGGAAGCAACAGGTGGATTCGACATCACCAACATGATCACTTTTCCAAACAGGTCCTTTCAGAGAGTTAGAGTTGGAAAAGTAGATCCCAGTGCTCCAAAAGGGAAAGAATTATTCCTTGATGAAGATATGATTGTGTGGCACCCAGCTTTTAATCAGGTATGGACACATTTAATAGATTGTATTATAGTCCATTATGATACCAGGAAAATGCCTTCATCTGTAAAGCCATATTGAATATCATCTCTGTATAAATATATATAATTTATAAACCTATTTTTTGTTTTTGAAAGAAGAAAGGCATATTCTGAAAAAAAAACCTCTCCATTTACAAAACTGACATTACAATGAGAAAACATTTCAAATTTGGATTGCAATTATCAATTGAAAAGATGTTGAATCTATTTAAATTGTATATCAAATTTGATAAAATTCACTAACACATTAAGAAGTCAAATGTTGCTTCCTGCCATATTGGAGAAGAATTAGAAACTCTTTTAAAAACCTCCTTTGCAAAAGCTTTCATGTTTATGATCAGGTACTTCCAATTTCTCTGTGTAATGACCATTGCTCCCCTGGATACTGGAAGAAAGGAATGGAAGGAAAACAATTCTGTTGCTACGACTGTGTTCCATGTCCAGAAGGGAAGATTTCAAATCAAAAGGGTAAGTTAGACATTCCATCAAGTTTCATTAGATAGATTTAAGCAAATTGTAATGCACTACATTGGGATGCATATAAAGAATAGTTTTCACAAATTCTTCAGGCTGGAAATATATTTCTGCACTGTGGATTACAGTCCGTCGTTCAGGAGTCAAAGTTTGCCTATAAGATTCTAAGAGGTAGTCTTTCCAAATGGAGGCCCAAAATATATATCCATTCAGCCATAGATTGTCTATCATCACGTGATCTCTTATCTATTTATTTACTTTTCACATTTTCAACCTCATTTGCTGTTCTTTTCCCTAAGATTGTTAGCAAATTGATAGGCGAGACTGAGCTGTGATGGTGCAGTGGTTAGAATGTAGCATTGCAGGCTAATTCTGCCGACCTGCCAGAGTTACGTGGAACTAGCGATTCGAACCGCTGAACTGCTGACATTTCTGATCAACAAGCTCATCTCTTAGCCACTGAGCCACCGCATCCCCTAAAAGTATGATTGAAGGACCACTAATGTCCACTCTTCAAAGACTCTACTTCAAATTGAAATAAACAATGACAGATGGTGTTTTTTTTTTTTACAAATGATAGTATAAAATTGCAACCAAACCCTTTGAGACGATGAGGTCCATTTTAACCATGAGAGAACTAAGACATTTTCCTTCTTGATCTGCCATTTTCTAGATCTTATCTTTCACTAAAACCTGAAAGTAAGAGAAAAGAGCTTCAGCAAACAAATTAAGATTTGCAAATGGATTAGATATTCCAACCTCAAAGGGATATAGAGTGGGTGTTTTTAGAACCAATTAATACTTTCTATATAGAACACAGAAGCACACAAAAGGTTGGGCTATATAGTTCAGGCTAATATCTTGTTTTAATGGTAAATGTAGGTGATTTATTTTGTTCGTTCAACCCAACCTTTTATTCTCAAATAAAAAGACTAATTTTTCATTAGCTTGCTCACATTTTAGAGTTTTAAAATTTAGAAGAAGTTAAAAAGATTATATTGATTGTACTTCAGAGTTAAGGGACGGGGTGGCTCAGTGGCTAAGATGCTGAGCTTGTTGATCGAAATGTCAGCAGTTCAGTGGTTCAAATCCCTAGTGCCGTATCACAGGGTGAGCTCCCGCTACTTCTGCCAACCTAGCAGTTCGAAAGTATGTAAAAAATGCAAGTAGAAAAATAGGGACCACCTTTGGTGGGAAGGTAACAGTGTTCCGTGCGCCTTTGGCATTGAGTCATGCTGGCCACATGACTCAATGTGGAACGACTAGCACATATGTACAAGGGGAACCTACCCTTTACCTTTTTACTTCAGAGTTAGTATCTCTGCTCCTCTTACTATCATTACAGTTTTCTTATCTATGCTTTGGAAAAATTAATAAAGCAATAATGGTCCTTAATGATTTCAATGGATAATTGCCCTTCCCACTTTACTTGTGAATTCTAAAGCATACAGCAGAGGAAGAACTGCATTTTCATTGACAAATGATCCCACTAGTGCTTAATGGAAACAAGTCAAGACGAATCACAACGGCATCCACTATAATTTTCAAACACATGGATGGCATAGATGACAAATTCTTCACTTTTCTTCCAGATATGGATGACTGTTTTGAATGTCCACAAGATCATTATCCAAATAAAGAAAAGAAAGGATGCATCCTGAAACTGCTGGTCTTTCTAACTTTTGAAGAAACCTTAGGAATTGGTTTGGCCTCATCTGCTCTTTGTTTCTTCTTCTTGACCTCTTGGGTACTTGGAACTTTTATTAAGCACAGGGATACCCCCATTGTCAAAGCCAACAATCGGTCCCTCACCTACACCCTCCTTGTCTCTCTTCTGCTCTGTTTTCTCTCGTCTTTGTTGTTCCTCAGTCAACCTGACAAGGTGACCTGCCTTCTCCGACAGCCGACTTTTGTCATCACCTTCTCAGTGGCCATTTCCAGTGTCCTGGCCAAAACCATCACTGTGGTTGTAGCTTTCATGGCCACTAAACCAGGATCTCAGATGAGGAAATGGGTGGGGAAAAGATTGGCCTTTTCTATTGTCCTTTCATGCTCTCTATTACAAGTATGTATTTGTATAATTTGGTTGTCAACATCTCCCCCGTTCCCTGAGTTGAACATATACTCAGAGGTCCAAGAAATGATTTTACAGTGCAATGAGGGGTCAGCTTTCTTCTTCTACTGTGTCTTGGGCTACATGGGTATCTTAGCCATCACCAGCTTTGTTGTGGCTTTTCTTGCCCGTAAATTACCTGACAGCTTTAATGAAGCCAAGTTCATCACTTTCAGCATGTTGGCCTTTTGCAGTGTGTGGATCTCCTTCTTTCCAGCCTATCTGAGCACAAAAGGCAAAGCCATGGTAGCTGTGGAGGTCTTCTCCATCTTGGCCTCCAGCGCTGCATTACTAGGATGCATATTCTTACCAAAGTGCTACATCATTGTTTTGCGGCCTGAACTCAACCACAGGGAGCAACTCATAAAGAGAAATTAGTACCCAATGTTGTCTTTCTTCCTAGTAGAAAATGCTGAAAATAAAGAATAAAAGGACCATTTGCTATTTACAGAAACCATGTAGTTTTGATTTTGGCCTAAGAAGATATATGGAGGTTTATTTTTATTACGGTTTATCATGCAAGTTAGGTGTTCAGAGTGGATTTGACAGGTTTTCTTCACACATCAAATCCTTTCCAAGGACCTGGGATTGGCAGATGTGGATTTTTTTTGGGGGGGGTTGTTTTATTTTTTTGTAGGGTGTGAGCTGTTCTGAATAAAGCATCTTGTGCAATCGACTCATGGTCAATTTGTCAATACTGATGTTGTTTAAATGAATCTCCAGATGTTTTGGGATAATACCCAAAGTGCCTATTATTGTTGGTACTATCTTAGCTTTATTTTGTCCCAGTTATTTTTTTTCTTATTTTATTTTCTTATTTATTTCTTATTTCTCATTTTAACAATCCTGTAATCGTTTGCATTGGATGGAGTTCAGACAACTTAATGGAGATGAGCATTTACTGGCCGGATGCCCTTCCTGACACCTATATGGAGCTCACAGCAGATATTTTGTCTGTCCCCACCAGAGAGAGAACTATCTCCCGCTACCTAGGATTAAAATCATAGCCTCCTGATTGTGAAGAGTCAGGTCCACCTTTAGGCCACCATACTATCTGTTAATGTTTGTTTGTTGGTTGGTTGGTTGGTTGGTTGGTTGGTTGGTTGGTTTTATTAGATTTATATACCACCCTACTCCCGAAGGACTCAGGGCGGTGAACAGGCACAAAATAAAATACGTAAATACAAAATTTAAAAGCAGAAATAAAACCAGATTAAACAATTTAGCCCGAGACAAATTTAAAACATCCCAATAATTTAAAAACAGATTTAAAATTTTCAATTTAAAAGAAAAGGGGAAAAGGTTAGGCCAGGCCAGCTTGCTGGAATAGGAAGGTCTTAAGAGCGTGGCGGAAAGTGCGTAGATCCGGGATCCTCCGTATCTCCGGGGGGAGCTGATTCCAGATAGTGGGTGCCCCCACAGAGAAGGCCCTCCCCCTGGGGGCCGCCAGTCAACACTGTTTGGCTGACGGCACCCCATAGGAGCCCCTCTCTATGAGAGTGTACCGGCCGGTGGGAGGCTATTTTTGGTAGTAGGCGGTCCGGTAAGTAGCCAGGTCCTAAGCCATGGAGCGCTCTAAAGCGCTCTATTTCAGCTAACTGATGAGGCTTTATAAGCCGAAATAGATCTATCTTAGTCTCCCTTAAGTCTTACAACAGACAGCAAAATGCTTGTGAATGTCTGATAAAGCCTAGAAAATAGTGAATTGGGATTTCACTGAACTATGGCTATAGAAACAGCTTGATTTATGTAGGAAAAACCCTGGCTGAAACAATAATGCACATGTAGACCTACAAAAAAAAAAAAAAGAACAGAATATATATATGTATGTATGTATATGTATATGTATATGTATATGTATATGTATATGTATATGTATATGTATATGTATATGTATATGTATATGTATATGTATATGTATATGTATATATTTGTTTTCTCAGGTTTTCGTGGGTGTTTGTATGTAGGTCTTTGGTTATTCGGGTCTTCTCCCACGTAAAATTGGAAGTGTCTTGGCGACGTTTCGACGAAGTCTCATTCGTCATCTTCAGGCTGGTGTTCTCGGCTTCGTGCTTCCAGGAGCAATGTGAGATCGCAGCTGTCTCTTCCTTTTAACTGCTAGTGGGGGTGTGAGCTGATTGGGTGGGAACTTGGCTGTGTTCTGATTGGGTGGAGGTGTGTTCTGATTGGTTAGGGGCTTGGCTGTGCTCTGATTGGCTGGGGGTGTGTTCTGTTTGGGTGGGGGCTTGGTTGTGCTCAGCTTTGTCTGAGTTGCAGGGGGATTTGAGCTGGTGAGCTGCGTTGTTGTTGTTTGGCTTCGTGTTTGTGGCCGTGCGAGCTCTTCATGGTGGGTGTCAGTCTGCTTCATGTATGGATTGGAGGGGTTTAAAGTGGCTAATGATGCAGCTGCGGTCTGGCTTCTGGTCCTTGGTCGTGGCTCATTATCAGTGTGGGTTTGAGTCTGCTTTCTGCGTGGATGTGTGATGGTGACATCAGGTGTGGCACTCGTGAGTGTGGGTCTGGTGTCATTCGTCATGTTAGGGACTCGTTTGTCAATAAGGGCGGGTTTCCAAATGCCTGGTAGGCGGGAGGTATCGTCTCGTTTGTTCATGCTGTGTGGGCGTTTTTCTATCTCGATGGCTTCTCTGATTATTCTGTTGTTAAAGTGTTCAGTTTTGGCGATAGTTCTCGTCTTTTTAAAGTCAATATCATGTCCTGTGGCTTTAAGGTGTTGGACCAGGGAAGAAGTTGGTTCCTCTTTTCTGACCGAGTTCTTGTGTTCTTCTATGCGTGCACTTATTCGTCTGCTGGTTTGTCCGATGTATGTGGTGGGGCAGGCAGTGCATGGGATTTCATATACTCCTTGATTTTCTAACTCAATTTTGTCTTTGGGATTCCTTAGGATGGTGGATATTTTTCGGTTTGTGCAGAATGCTGTCTTGATGTTATGTTTGTGGAGGATTTTGCTTATTCTGTCTGTGGTGCCTTTTATGTATGGGAGGAGGGCTTTGCCGTTTTCTTGTTCTCTGTCTTGGATTTTAGTGGGGGTTTCTTTTTGGATTAGGTTGGTGATCTTATTTCTTTGGAATCCATTGGATGTTAGTATGTTAGTGAGAGTGTGTAGTTCGGTTTTTAGGTGTTGTTCGTCAGCTAAGCGTTTTGTTCTGGAAATGAGTGTCTTGGCTACAGAGTTGATCTGGGCAGGGTGGTGGTGTGAGAGTGCGTGCAGATAGCGGTTTGTGTGTGTTTTCTTCTGGTATATAGTGTGTCCTAGGGAGCCATTGGATTTTCTGTAGACTAAGACATCCAGGAAGGGAAGTTGGTTGTTCGCTTCTGTTTCCATGGTGAACTGTATTTTGGGGTGTAGGCTGTTGAGGTGTGTGAGGAAGTTGTCCAGTTTTTCTTTCCCATGTGGCCAGATTATGAAGGTGTCGTCCACATATCTGAGCCAGAGTTTGGGTTTGTGATCGGATTTTTCTAGAGCTTGGGTTTCAAATTATTCCATATAGAGGTTGGCAATGACAGGTGAGAGGGGTGATCCCATGGGTGCTCCTTCTGTTTGTTTGTATTTCTGTCCATTATAGATGAAGTATGTGTTGGATAGGCAGTGGTTGGTCAGATCTAAGATGTGCTTGGTGGGGGGGTTATATTTGTTTTGGATAACTGTCAAGGCTTCTTTGATTGGTACTTGGGTGAAGAGGGATATGACATCAAAGCTCACGAGTAGGTCACTGGGCTGTAAGTTTTGTTGCTTTATGATGTCTATGAACTGGAATGAGTTTTTTACTCATATGTATGAGGTGATGGATTCTGCATAGGGCTGTAGTTGTTTGGCGAGAAATTTGGCTAGGTTTTGTAGAGGTGAGCCTATGGAGCTGACTATGGGTCTAAGTGGGGTTCCTTCTTTGTGTATCTTGGGGAGACCATAAAGCTTAGGGCATCTGGATGATTTCTCTCTGGGTATGATTCTTTGCTGAATCTCTTCGCTGATGGGGGAGGCTTTTATTTTGGATCTGGTGGTTTTTTCCAGGTAGGTGGTGGGGTCTGTGTTTAGGGGTTTGTATATGGAGTCTTGGAGTAGGTTGGTTAATTTGGTTTGGTAGTCAGATGTGTTCATAACCACCGTGGCATTGCCCTTGTCTGCTGGTAGGATTATTATGCTGGTGTCTTCTTTCAGGTTAAGTAGTGCTGTCTGTTCCTCTTTGGGTAAGTTACTTTTGGGTGGCTTGCTGGTGCAGAGGATATTGGTGATTTCGAGTCTGATTCTGTTTGCATCGTCGGGGTTGACTTTGGTCAGGCTGGTTTCAACTCTGCATATAATGGTTTCAGTGGGGATGTGTTTGGGAGCGACTGCAAAGTTGAACCTTTGGAAAGGACATTGGTTTCGGCTGTGGTGAGGATCCTATCTGAGATGTTATGCACTGTTTGTTTCATGTATGGCTATGGGGGGGGGAGAGGTTTGTTTCTGGTGTTCTTGTACTCTTCGGAGTTTGTTAGTGTGTGTGTCTGTCTTGAGGGATAGATATATAGATATATATGACAAGCCGGAAAGTGATGATTTGAGATATCATCCCACTATGGCCATTTAACAACTTGATCTACATAGGAAAAAAACCCTGACTACAAAAATATCATACATTTGAACCTATGAATTAAAAAGAATATATATATATATATATATATATATATATATATATATATATATATATATATATATATATATATATATCTTTGTGTGTGTGTGTGTGTGTGTGTATGTATGTATGTATGTATGTATGTATGTATATGTATGTATGTATGTAAGTCTGTCTGTAAGTACACACACACACACACACACACACACAAACACACAATTTTGAAGAAGTATAGAAAAGTGAAAATATCTTCCCAATTTTACTTCTCCAAATATTTTCAAAATAGGTTAACCATCAGTCACTTGTTAGATGGTCCAAAAGAGAGAAAGATGCTGATCAGGTGTATAAATAAAAATTGCAAGGTTGCAAATCTTTCAAACGTAATTATATAACTTACAAATAACTGAAATCAATCTATTATCCAAGGAGGCCAAAACCATCAAAGGTTCTCAGCTGAAGGGAATAGGAATTGAAAAACAACCCATTTAATTACTTTTAGAGCCACATGAGGGCACAAAGGGATTGCTTTGTAGGTTTATTTCCACAAATTCTCTTCCTCCTGTTTTATCTGCCAGAACTTCTCTTTGACTGATAGACTCGGACATTTTCTCCATAATAATAGAGTGGAGATGTTGTTTCTTCTGATGTTCTTGGTGCACAGAGTAGCTACTCTAAGATGTCCTGCAAGGGAAGCTTTCCCTGTTCCACATGAGTGGTTCCAGCCTGGTGACCTCATCATTGGTGGGATGGTGTCTCAAATATTTTACAACTTTGATGAAATTGACTTTAAGGACCATCCTTCTCTAAAACCTTATCCCTTACCAGTGTAATATTTTTTTCCCTTCAGTGTTTCCCCAATTTTAGCCAGCTCTCCAAAAATTTCTTATATGATTAAAAGCTGTATGAGCATAATGCAGATGTTGTATCTATTTTAAAGTAATTTCTTTGTCTTTTGAGTGTATCTGGTTGTGGGAGAAGAAATATTATCTTTAAGTTAATGTCTTTCTTGTGTAAATACTTTAAAGTCTAACAGTCTTTTTCACTCATATATTAAATGTTTGCCAAAATAAGTTTTTTTAAAGAATATTCAGTGAATGGAATAGAATTTTTTTAAAAAAAGAAAAAAAATCTGCATTATGACTCCTCACAAAACATGCAAGCAGTAAATGAATGATATTTGTTAAATCTGTTCATATTCTGTTTTATGCGAAGCTGAAAGAAAATAAAAGTAGTCGCTTGGAAAATAGCTTATTATTTTCTTGGCTGTAATGCTTATTTATTGTAAGGCATGGAAATACATGGAAACACTCTATAGATTACTCCAGTATTTTATGATTTGCAATTCTCATTGTCCTACTTCCATCAAATACAAAAACGCATATTATTCATTTGGAAATGATGCCAAATTATAACAATGTTTAAATGTATTAATCAATAGGATTTTTTAAAACTTATTGGCAGTGTAGTCACCAAATTCTACCAGCATGCCCTCGCCTTGGCCTTTGCTGTGAAGGAGATCAATGAAGACTCCCAGATCTTACTTAATGTCACTCTTGGGTTCCACATCTATGACAGTTACTACAATCCAAGGATGACCTACCGAACCACTCTGGACCTGCTTTTCAAATCTAAGGGATTTTTTCCTAACTACAAATGCGATAATCAGAAGAATCTCATGGCCATTATTGGGGGATTAGATGCTTCTGCTTCTTCCTATATGGCAGAAAGTATAAATCTCTTCAAGATTCCGCAGGTAATTTGGGGAGAGCAGGAAGAGATAAATTGGTCTTCTTTTGTAATGAACATTAGAGATCATTCCATTTCTGGATTTTCCCCTTCATTGTCAAGGGCCTTGGAGTACTCATCTCTAATGATCTAAGTGCCAGAGCTCACTGTAACAGCATTGCCAAAAAGGCATTAAGAGTAGTTAACCTAATCTTGCGAAGCTTCTTCTCTGGTAATATTGTACTGCACACTAGGGCATACAAAACCTTTGCTAGACCAATTCTTGAGTACAGCTCATCTGCCAGAACCCGCACTGCATATTAGACATTAATACAATTGAAGAGAGTCCAGAGATATTTCATGAGAAGAGTCCTCCACTCCTCTGCTTACAACAGAATACCTTATTATTATTATTTTTTTAATTTTTTTTTTAATTTGATTTATATGCCGCCCTTCTCCGGAGACTCAGGGCGGCTTACAGTGCGTTAAGCAATAGCCTTCATACTTTTGTATATTTATGCAAAGTCAGCTTATTGCCCCCACAAACTGGGTCCTCATTTAACCTACCTTAGAAAGGATGGAAGGCTGAGTCAACCTTGAGCCTTGGAGAGATTCGAACCAGCAGTAAATTGCAGGCAGCTGTGTTAATAACAGGGTGCTTTAAACCACTGTAGTACCAAGGCTCTTATGCCACCAGGCTTGAAATTTTGGGCTTAGACAATTTAGAACTACGCCGCTTTCAGTCTGACCTAACGGTAGTACACAAAATTATCTGCTACAACATCTTACATGTCAATGATTACTTCAGCTTCAACCACAACAATACATGAGCACACAATAGATACAAACTTAAGGTAAAATGCTCCAAACTCTATTGCAGAAAATAGGACTTCAGCAACAGAGTAGTCAATGCCTGGAATTCACTACCTGACTCTATGGTTACATCCCAAAACCCCCAAAATTTTAACCTTAGACTGTCTACTGTTGACCTCACCCCATTCCTAAGAGGTCTGTAAGGGGTATGCATAAGCTCACCAACATGCCTACTGTCCCTGTCCTAATGTCCCCTTGTATTCATATCCATTTCATCTATTCATAATGATGTTTATACTTATATCTGTTATCTAATAGGTGCTTGACAAATAAAATATAATAATAATAATAATAATAATAATAATAATAATAATACTTGTCTTAACATTATACCTTAACAGTTCCTAGGTCCTTGGTTAGGACTCGAGCTGCTGAGCTATTAACCAGCCTCAAAGGCTGTGAATCTCACTAAAGATTAACCAATAATAATACTTGTCCTAAATAATGACTCTCTCTCTTTGTCTTTTGTTCAGCTGACCTATGGTTCCTTTGCCCAAGAAGAGCTCCAGGCTACTAAGTTATCTTTACTTTATTGCCTGGTCCCAAAAGAGGAACATCAATACAATGGAATTATACAGCTTCTCCACTATTTTGGATGGACGTGGATTGGAATCTTCACTTTTGATAAGAAGAAGGGAGAACATTTCTTGCAGAAACTGAATCCGTTGCTTTCCCAAAATGGGATCTGTTTAGCCTTCACACAAAAGATTCCACAGCAAGCCCTACTTCAGAACCTATCAGAATATCTTGATCTAATCTCAACTATTTTTAATAGACTGATAGATCAGAAAGCCAATGTTTTCCTTGTCTATGGCGAACCATTCACGATTCTGTGGCTCAGAAATATTGTGTTTTTATGTGATTATGAAAACAAAGAGAGTGCGTCATTTAGGAAGGTATGGATCCTGATGTTCCCAATTGATTTCGCACTGACAGGACTTCAAAGGAGTTGGGATCTCCAGTTGTACCATGGGGCTCTTTCCTTTACTGTTCATTCAAGAGACATTCAAGGCTTCAAAGAATTTCTTCAAGTCATCAAACCTTCAACCCACAAAGATGGATTTCTTCAAGAAGTTTGGGAGCAAATATTCGACTGTTCACTTTCAAATGAAAAATTACCCTCAATGGCTGATGAAACTTGCAGTGGAGAAGAGAATTTGGAGAATCTGCCTGCGCCTCTCTTTGAGTTGCAGATGACTGGCCAAAGCTACAGTATTTACAATGCTGTTTATGCAGTGGCACATTCTTTGCATGAGGCAGTGAGATCAAGAGCCTCACACAGAAAAAATCAAAGGTTTGAATTTCAAACTCTGAAGCCTTGGCAGGTGATGCTTACATGATATACTTACATTGTACATCTTACTCAAATTTAGTTTAACTCTTAATTTCAGTTATTGTTTAAACAAAAATCTATATTTTGAAAGACATTCTCCATAACAGTACTATTAATGTCTTATTTATGTATCGGAAAATATTAATCTAGATAAGCTTAGATCAGATCTGGATAAGCAACCTGGAATTAAGGAGAAACTTCATAACAGCAAGGATAATTAACCAGTGGAACAGCTTGCCACTAGATATTGTGGGCGTTCCATCACTGGAGGTTTCTAAGAAGGGACTGGATGGTCACTGGTATAGGATCTCCTGGTTGAGCTGGTGGGCAGTTCGAATCCCAGAGGGTTGGACTAGAAGACCTCCAAGGACCCTTCCACCTCCATTCTGATGAAAGATTAGATTGAGATAGATAGAAGATAGATAGATAGATAGATAGATAGATAGATAGATAGATAGATAAGGATATCTGAAGAACAAGATTATGGACGGTGTAGGTTTGATTCATTGTTTAAATAGTGACTCTAAATCATATTCAAAATAGATTGTTTTCATTTTGCTGTCGTCAAAGAAACACTGTGATTAATTTAAGAGGTCATTCTGTGTTACAGAATAAAAGGAGATAAAAATAAAACATCATCATCTTCATTTAATGACCCTATAAATCCCTGGTGGGGTAGAGATAAAAATAAAACATGCCTTTTGTAAATTTCAGTCTAGCCAATGGTGGTTTTACATCATCCTTGATTCCATAAATAACCATTTTATTTGTATGTAGACTTTTCCTCTCTTTTAGATTTTTTTCAGCCTGGTTCCAAGAAAAATTAAATGGGGACATCTTTGAAAGCAATCTTTCTTTCTTTCTTTCTTTCTTTCTTTCTTTCTTTCTTTCTTTCTTTCTTTCTTTCTTTCTTTTTTATTGTTAATATGAATATTTCACTCTTCTTAACTATTTTTTTGCAATTTAGTTAAGTCAGAGCTTTTAGGCTGAGGACTTAGAATTTATGAAGACTTCTGCTACTATACCTTTATTATTTCCAGGAAGGGGTATTGGTTTTGAGACAGGATAAACTACCAAGAGAATTGTTGAGTTTGTGCTTTAAAGTACTCTTAATCATTAATTAATAAAACAAAACAGAGTCACATATCACAATTATGGATATTTCTTTGTGAGTCAACAGTTTTTCTTCCATATTTCAAGCCAGTAGCCAAGTTTTGTTTTTTCGCCAAAGATATATATTTTTTTTAATTGAAGCTTCCTTATGGGTAATTATGGGTAATTTGTTTTTCCTGGTTTTGGGGTTATTAGTTTTACGTATAGTTCAAGATTAGATCAGATCAGATCATATTAGATTGAGATAGGTAGATAGATGGGTGGATGGATGGATGGATGGATAGATAGATAGATAGATAGATAGATAGATAGATAGATAGATAGATAGAAGATAGATGGATGGATGGATGGATGGATGGTTGAATGGATGGATGGACAGGCACATAGACAAGTGAGGGGGGAGAATACTTTTGCTCCATATAAGTTTACCAAGAACCTCTTGAGTCTCAGATACTAAAAGCTGGTTAAAGGAAATTTATTATATCCTAGGATTTCAAATACCTTTGTACCAATGAAGAAGGATATGTAGAGTATACGATCATCAATTTGATTCATTGTTTAAATAGTCAATATAAATCTGAATCATATTAGAAATAGATTGTTTCCATTTTGTTTTTATTGATTGACAATTTTTCCTATCTTTCCTTAAAATCATTAATAGAGAAGATCTGTACAGTTCCATGCAATATAGACTATCAATAATCTCAATGTAGTTATTTGAGCATTACTGTAGGAAAGGGAAGAATGAGTGAATGAAACTTGAATATGATGGTCTCTTCTCTATTATACTGTTCTATGCTCCCTCTCTCTTTCATTCTATTTCAAGTAGCTCCATTCATTTCTTCAAGGCATTTCTTTCAACAATTCAGCTGGGGAGAGAGTGTTCCTAAATGAGAAAGGGGAAGCAACAGGTGGATTCGACATCACCAACATGATCACTTTTCCAAACAGGTCCTTTCAGAGAGTTAGAGTTGGAAATGTAGATTCCAGTGCTCCAAAAGGGAAAGAATTATTCATTGATGAAGATATGATTGTGTGGCACCCAGCTTTTAATCAGGTATGGACACATTTAATGGATTGTATTATAGTCCATTATGATACCAGGAAAATGTCTTCATCTGTAAAGCCATATTGAATATCATCTCTGTATAAATATATATAATTTATAAACCTATTTTTTGTTTTTGAAAGAAGAAAGGCATATTCTGAAAAAAAAACCCTCTCCATTTACAAAACTGACATTACAATGAGAAAACATTTCAAATTTGGATTGCAATTATCAATTGAAAAGATGTTGAATCTATTTAAATTGTATATCAATTTGATAAAATTCACTAACACATTAAGAAGTCAAATGTTGCTTCCTGCCATATTGGAGAAGAATTAGAAACTCTTTTAAAAACCTCCTTTGCAAAAGCTTTCGTGTTTATGATCAGGTACTTCCAATTTCTCTGTGTAATGACCATTGCTCCCCCGGATACTGGAAGAAAGGAATGGAAGGAAAACAATTCTGTTGCTACGACTGTGTTCCATGTCCAGAAGGGAAGATTTCAAACCAAAAGGGTAAGTTAGACATTCCATCAAGTTTCATTAGATAGGTTTAAGCAAATTGTAATGCACTACATTGGGATGCATATAAAGAATAGTTTTCACAAATTCTTCAGGCTGGAAATATATTTCTGCACTGTGGATTACAGTCCGTTGTTCAGGAGTCAAAGTTTGCCTATAAGATTCTAAGAGGTAGTCTTTCCAAATGGAGGCCCAAAATATATATCCATTCAGCCATAGACTGTCTATCATCACGTGATCTCTTATCTATTTATTTACTTTTCACATTTTCAACCTCATTTGCTGTTCTTTTCCCTAAGATTGTTAGCAAATTGATAGGCGAGACTGAGCTGTGATGGTGCAGTGGTTAGAATGTAGCGTTGCAGGCTAATTCTGCCGACCTGCCAGAGTTACGTGGAACTAGCGATTCGAACTGCTAAACTGCTGACATTTCTGATCAACAAGCTCATCTCTTAGCCACTGAGCCACCACATCCCCTAAAAGTATGATTGAAGGACCACTAATGTCCACTCTTCAAAGACTCTACTTCAAATTGAAATAAACAATGACAGATGGTTTTTTTTTTTTACAAATGATAGTATAAAATTGCAACCAAACCCTTTGAGATGATGAGGTCCATTTTAACCATGAGAGAACTAAGACATTTTCCTTCTTGATCTGCCATTTTCTAGATCTTATCTTCCACTAAAACCTGAAAGTAAGAGAAAAGAGCTTCAGCAAACAAATTAAGATTTGCAAATGGATTAGATATTCCAACCTCAAAGGGATATAGAGTGGGTGTTTTTAGAACCAATTAATACTTTCTATATAGAACTCAGAAGCACACAAAAGGTTGGGCTATAGTTCAGGCTTTTATCTTGTTTTGATGGTAAATGTAGGTGATTTATTTTGTTCGTTCAACCCAACCTTTTATTCTCAAATAAAAAGACTAATTTTTCATTAGCTTGCTCACATTTTAGAATTTTAAAATTTAGAAGAAGTTAAAAAGATTATATTGATTGTACTTCAGAGTTAAGGAACGGGGTGGCTCAGTGGCTAAGATGCTGAGCTTGTTGATCGAAATGTCAGCAGTTCAGCGGTTCAAATCCCTAGTGCCGTATCACAGGGTGAGCTCCCGTTACTTCTGCCAACCTACCAGTTTGAAAGTATGTAAAAAATGCAAGTAGAAAAATAGGGACCACCTTTGGTGGGAAGGTAACAGTGTTCCGTGTGCCTTTGGCATTGAGTCATGCCAGCCACATGACTCAATGTGGAACGACTAGCACATATGTACAAGGGGAACCCACCCTTTACCTTTTTAGTTCAGAGTTAGTATCTCTGCTCCTCTTACTATCATTACAGTTTTCTTATCTATGCTTTGGAAAAATTAATAAAGCAATAATGATCCTTAATGATTTCAATGGATAATTGCCCTTCCCACTTTACTTGTGAATTCTAAAGCATACAGCAGAGGAAGAACTGCATTTTCATTGACAAATGATCACAAATGGTGCTTAATGGAAACAAGTCAAGATGAATCACAACGGCATCCACTATAATTTTCAAACACATGGATGGCATAGATGACAAATTCTTCACTTTTCTTCCAGATATGGATGACTGTTTTGAATGTTCACAAGATCATTATCCAAATAAAGAAAAGAAAGGATGCATCCTGAAACTGCTGGTCTTTCTAACTTTTGAAGAAACCTTAGGAATTGGTTTGGCCTCAACTGCTCTTTGTTTCTTCTTCTTGACATCTTGGGTACTTGAAACTTTTATTAAGCACAGGGATACTCCCATTGTCAAAGCCAACAACCGGTCCCTCACCTACACCCTCCTTGCCTCTCTTCTGCTCTGTTTTCTCTCCTCTTTGTTGTTCCTCAGCCAACCTGACAAGGTGACCTGCCTTCTCCGACAACCGACTTTTGGCATCACCTTCTCAGTGGCCATTTCCAGTGTCCTGGCCAAAACCATCACTGTAGTTGTAGCTTTCATGGCCACTAAACCAGGATCTCAGATGAGGAAATGGGTGGGGAAAAGATTGGCCTTTTCTATTGTCCTTTCATGCTCTCTATTACAAGTATGTATTTGTATAATTTGGTTGTCAACATCTCCCCCGTTCCCTGAGTTGAACATATACTCAGAGGTCCAAGAAATGATTTTACAGTGCAATGAGGGGTCAGCTTTCTTCTTCTACTGTGTCTTGGGCTACATGGGTATCTTGGCCATCGCCAGCTTTATTGTGGCTTTCCTTGCCCGTAAATTACCTGACAGCTTTAATGAAGCCAAGTTCATCACCTTCAGCATGTTGGCCTTTTGCAGTGTGTGGATCTCCTTCTTTCCAGCCTATCTGAGCACAAAAGGCAAAGCCATGGTAGCTGTGGAGGTCTTCTCCATCTTGGCCTCCAGCGCTGCATTACTAGGATGCATATTCTTACCAAAGTGCTACATCATTGTTTTGCGGCCTGAACTCAACCACAGGGAGCAACTCATAAAGAGAAATTAGTACCCAATGTTGTCTTTCTTCCTAGTAGAAAATGCTGACAATAAAGAATAAAAGGACCATTTGCTATTTACAGAAACCATGTAGTTTTGATTTTGGCCTAAGGGGATATATGGAGGTTTATTTTTATTACAGTTTATCATACAAGTTAGGTGTTCAGAGTGGATTTGACAGGTTTTCTTCACACATCAAATCCTTTCCAAGGACCTGGGATTGGCAGATGTGGATTTTATTTGGGGGGTGGGGGTTGTTTTATTTTTTTGTAGGGTGTGAGCTGTTCTGAATAAATCATCTTGTGCAATGAACTCGTGGTCAATTTGTCAATACTAATGTTGTATAAGTGAATCTCCAGATGTTTTGGGATAACACCCAAAGTGCCTATTACCGTTGGTACTATCTTAGATTTATTTTGCCCCAGTCATTTTTTTCCTTCTTTTTAACAATCCTGTAATCGTTTGCATTGGATGGAGTTCAGACAACTTAATGGAGATGAGCATTTACTGGCCGGATGCCCTTCCTGACACCTACATGGAGCTCACAGCAGATATTTTGTCTGTCCCCAACAGAGAGAGAACTATCTCCCGCTACCTAGGATTAAAATCATAGCCTCCTGATTGTGAAAAGTCAGGTCCACCTTTAGGCCACCATGCTATCTGTTAATGTTTGTTTGTTTGTTGGTTGGTTGGTTGGTTGGTTGGTTTTATTAGATTTATATACCACCCTACTCCCGAAGGACTCAGGGCAGTGAACAGGCACAAAATAAAATACATAAATACAAAATTTAAAAGCAGAAATAAAACCAGATTAAACAATTTAGCCCGAGACAAATTTAAAACATCCCAATAATTTAAAAACAGATTTAAAATTTTCAATTTAAAAGAAAAGGGGAAAAGGTTAGGCCAGGCCAGCTTGTTGGAATAGGAAGGTCTTAAGAGTGCGGCGGAAAGTGCGCAGATCCGGGATCCTCCGTATCTCTGTGGGGAGCTCATTCCAGATAGTGGGTGCCCCCACAGAGAAGGCCCTCCCCCTGGGGGCCGCCAGTCGACACTGTTTGGCTGACGGCACCCGGAGGAGTCCCTCTCTATGAGACTGTACCGGCCGGTGGGAGGCTATTTTTGGTAGTAGGCGGTCCCGTAAGTAGCCAGGTCCTAAGCCATGGAGCGCTCTAAAGCGCTCTATTTCAGCTAACTGATGAGGCCTTATAAGGCCGAAATAGATCTATCTTAGTCTCCCTTACGTCTTACAACAGACAGCAAAATGCTTGTGAATGTCTGATAAAGCCTAGAAAATAGTGAATTGGGATTTCACTGAACTATGGCTATAGAAACAGCTTGATTTATGTAGGAAAAACCCTGGCTGAAACAATAATGCACATATAGACCTACAAAAAAAAAATAAGAACAGTATATATATATATATATATATATATATATATATATATATATATATATATATATATATATTTGTTTGGTTATTCGGGTTTTCTCCCACGTAAAATTGGACGTTTCTTGGCAACGTTTCGACAAAGTCTCATTCGTCATCTTCAGGCTGGTGTTCTCAGCTTCATGCTTCTAGGAGCAATGTGTGTGATCACAGCTGTTTCTTCCTTTTAACTGCCAGTGGGGGTGTGAACTGATTGGGTGAGAGCTTGGCTGTGTTCTGATTGGGTGGAGGTGTGTTCTGATTGGTTGGGGGTTTGGCTGTGCTCTGATTGGATGGGGGGTTGGCTGTGCTCTGAGTGGATGGGTGTGTGTTCTGTTTAGGTGGGGGCTTGGTTGTGCTCGGGTTAGTCTGAGTAGCAGGGGGATTTGATCTGGTGAGCTGTATTGCTGTTGTTTGGCTTCGTGTTCGTGGCCGTGCCAACTCTTCATGGTGGGTGTCAGTCTGCTTCATGTATGGATTGAGAGGTTTAAAGTGGCTAATGATGCAGCTGTGGTCTGGCTTCTGGTCCGGGGTCGTGTCTCATCATTAGTGTGGGTTTGAGTCTGCTTTCTGCGTGTATGTGTGGTGGTTGCATCCTGTGTGGCTCTCGTGAGTGTGGGTCTGGTGTCATTCTTTGTGTTAGGGATTCGTTTGTCAATAAGGGCAGGTTTCCAAATGGCTGGTAGGCAGGAAGTATCATCTCGTTTATTCATGCTGTGTGGACGTTTTTCTATCTCGATGGCTTCTCTGATTATTCTGTTGTTAAAGTGTTCAGTTTTGGTGATAGTTCTGGTCTTTTTAAAGTCAATATCATGTCCTGTGGCTTTGAGGTGTTGGACCAGGGAAGAAGTTGGTTCCTCTTTCCTGACTGAGTTCTTGTGTTCTTCAATGCGTGCACTTATTCTTCTGTTGGTTTGTCCGATGTATGTAGTGGGGCAGGCGGTGCATGGGATTTCATATACTCCTTGATTTTCTAACTCAATTTTGTCTTTGGGGTTTCTTAGGATGGTGGATATTTTTCGGTTTGTGCAGAATGCTGTCTTGGTGTTGTGTTTGTGGAGGATCTTGCTGATTTTGTCTGTGGTGCCTTTTATGTATGGGAGGAGGGCTTTGCCGTTTTCTTGTTCTCTGTCTTGGATTTTAGTGGGGGTTTCTTTTTGGATTAGGTTGGTAATCTTATTTCTTTGGAATCCATTGGTTGTTAATATGTTAGTGAGAGTGTGTAGTTCGGTTTTTAGGTGTTGTTCGTCAGCTAAGCGTTTTGTTCTGGAAATGAGTGTCTTGGCTACGGAATTGATCTGTGCTGGGTGGTGGTGTGAGAGTGCGTGCAGATAGCGGTTTGTGTGTGTTTTCTTCTGGTAGATGGTGTGTCCTAGGGAGCCATTGGATTTTTTGTAGACTAAGACACCCAGGAAGGGAAGTTGGTTGTTCGCTTCTGTTTCCATGGTGAACTGTATTTTGGGGTGTAGACTGTTGAGAGCCACACAGGATGCAACCTCCACACATCCACGCAGAAAGCAGACTCAAACCCACATGACCCCAGACCAGAAGCCAGACCATAGCTGCATCATTAGCCTCTTTAAACCCCTCCAATCCATACATGAAGCAGACTGACACCCACCATGAAGAGTTGGCACGGCCACGAACATGAAGCCAAACAACAGCAACACAGCTCACCAGATCAAATCCCCCTGCTACTCAGACTAACCCAAGCACAACCAAGCCCCCACCTAAACAGAACACACACCCATCCAATCAGAGCACAGCCAACCCCCCATCCAATCAGAGCACAGCCAAACCCCCAACCAATCAGAACACACCTTCGCCCAATCAGAACACAGCCAAGCTCCCACCCAATCAGTTCACACCCCTACTGGCAGTTAAAAGGAAGAAACAGCTGCGATCATACACATTGCTCCTAGAAGCACGAAGCCGAGAAGACCAGCCTGAAGATGACGAATGAGACTTTGTCGAAACGTTGCCAAGAAACCTCCAATTTTACGTGGGAGAAAACCCGAATAACCAAAGACCTACACACACACACACACACACACACACACACACACACATATATATTCTTTCTTTTTCGTAGGTTTTATGTGTCTTTCTCTTTAGCCAGGTTCTCCCTACGTAAACCAAGATGTTATGCAGCCCGAGTTCAGTGAAATCACAATTCACTAGTTTCTGGGCTTTTTTTTCTTTTCCTTCTGGCAGCCAGCAGACCTTTTGCTGCCCATTAGGAGACTAAGATAGATCTATTTCGGCCTTATAAGGCCTCATCAGTTAGCCACACCCTCATCTCATGTATCCTCCCTGTAAAACAAATATTTAATACTTAAGTGATCCATTATGGGTGTACATTGTTATAATTTTAAATTGTTTTAATTGGGTTGTTGATTTTAATTTTATTGTGATTTGCATTGGATATTGTTTTTGTAAGCCGCCCTGAGTCCCTCGGGAGAATGGTGGCATATAAATCACAATAATAAAATATAAATAAATAAATAAAACTTGCAGAACACCCCCTACTATTTGTCAATTTTCATTTCTGGGTGGAAATTTTAACTGGGATGGAAACACAACTAGCTATTTTAAAAAAAAAGAATTCAGAAGGACAACAGGATGAGGATTTGGAAGGTGACTTACAACAAGTGAAGTAATTATGTTGAAATGGATGACTATATTGTGCTAAAGAGGAAGCTGAAGATTAGGGAGGCCCTGCTGCCTTGTTGGAGACAGGAAGTAAGAAGGCAGGGTGAATCTTGCCTGGTTTATTTTTGCCAGGTTATTCTCTAATATAGCATATCATGAGCAAAAGTGAATAAATACTAGTAAAAATTAAAGCCTCCAGAAGTAGGAATTAAGACATCTAAGAAATGAATATATAACTTCTTACTGAATATATTTGATGAACTATAGAAAAGTGAAAAAGGATATCTCCAAAATATCTTCCAAATTCTACTTCTTCAAGTATTTTCAAAGCAATCAGTCAATTATTAGGTGACCCAACAAAAGAGAGAAAGATGTCGGTCAGCTATGCAAAGAAAACAATGCCAGCTTGCCAATGTTTCAAAGGTAAATTATATACCTTGCAAATAACTGAAATCAGTCTGTTATCGAAGTAGGCCAAAACTATCAAAGGTTCTCAGCAGAAGGGAATAGGAATGGAGAAACAACCCATATAATTACTTCTAGAGCCACATGAGGGCACAAAGGGGTGGCTTCGTAGGTTTATTTGCACAGATTCTCTGTCACTAGAGCCGCATGGAGGCAGTAAAGGATAATGCTGACTTTGTGAGATTCATTCCTCCTGTTTTATCTGCCAGAACTTCTCTTTGAATGACAGACCCAGACATTTTCTCCATCACAATAGAATGAAGATATTGTTCCTTTTGATGTTCTCCATGCACAGAGTAGCTACTCTAAGATGCCCTGCAAGTGAAGCTTTCCTTGTTCCACATGAGTGGTTCCAGCCTGGTGACCTCCTCATCGGTGGGATGGTGTCTCACATTTTTTACCAGTTTTATGAAATTGAATTAAAGGACCATCCTTCTCTAAAACATTATCCCTTGCCAATGTAATTTTTTTTCCTTCAGATGTGTTCCCCAATTTTCCTGAACTCCCCAAATATTTCTTATATGATTAAAAGTTTTTATGAGCATAATGCAGATTTTGTATCTTCTTTTGTCTTTTGAGCATATCTGGTTGTGGAAGAATAGAATAGAATAGAATAGAATAGAATAGAATAGAATAGAATAGAATAGAATAGAATAGAATAGAATAGAATAGAATAGAATAACAGAGTTGGAAGGGACCTTGAAGGTCTTCTAGTCCAACCCCCTGCCCAGGCAGGAAACCCTACACCACTTCAGACAAATAGTTATCCAACTTCTTCTTAAAAATTTCCAATGTTGGAGCATTCAGAACTTCTGCAGGCAAGTTGTTCCACTTATTAATTATTCTAACTGTCAGGAAATTTCTCCTTAGTTCTAAATTGCTTCTCTCCTTGATTAGTTTCCACTCATTGCTTCTTGTCCTACCCTCAGGTGCTTTGAAGAATAGTTTGACTTCCTCTTCTTTGTGGCAACCCCTGAGATATTGGAACACTGCTATCATGTCTCCCCTAAACTAGACATACCTAGTTCCTGCAATTGTTCTTCATATGTTTTAGCCTCCAGTCCCCTAATAATCTTTGTTGCTCTTCTCTGCACTCTTTCTAGAGTCTCAACATCTTTTTTACATTGTGGCGACCAAAACTGAATGAAGAAGAAATGTTTTCTTTAAGTTAATATCTGTTTCGTGAAAATGCTTTAAAGTCTTAAAGTCTTTTTCATTCACACATTAAATGTTTGCCAAAAGAAGTTTTTTTTAAAAAAGAATATTTGGTGAGCTGAACTTTTTTTTTAAGATCTGCATTATGACTCCTCGCAAAATATGCAAGCAGTAAATGAATGATATTTATTTAATTTGTTCATATTCTGTTTGTGCTAAACTGAAAGAAAATAAAAGTAGTCGCTTGGAAAATAGCTTATTATTCTCTTGGCTGTAATGCTTATTTATTGTAAGGCATGGAAATACATGGAAACACTCTATAGATTACTCCAGTATTTTATGATTTGCAATTCTCATTGTCCTACTTCCATCAAATACAAAAACGCATATTATTCATTTGGAAATGATGCCAAATTATAACAATGTTTAAATGTATTAATCAATAGGATTTTTTAAAACTTATCTGCAGTGTAGTCACCAAATTCTACCAGCATGCCCTCGCCTTGGCCTTTGCTGTGAAGGAGATCAATGAAGACTCCCAGATCTTACTTAATGTCACTCTTGGGTTCCACATCTATGACAGTTACTACAATCCAAGGATGACCTACCGAACCACTCTGGACCTGCTTTTCAAATCTAAGGGATTTTTTCCTAACTACAAATGCGATAACCAGAAGAATCTCATGGCCATTATTGGAGGATTAGGTGCTCCTACTTCATCCTTTATGGCAGAAACTATAAATCGCTTCAAGATTCCACAGGTAATTTGGGGAGAGCAGTAGGAGATAAATTGGTCTTCTTTTGTAATGAACGTTAGAGATCATTCTCTAATATTTTTCTCTCCATCATCATGAATAATGACTCTCTTTCTTTGTTAAGCTGACCTATGGATCCTTTGCCCAAGAAGAGCTCCAGGCTACTAAGTTCTCTTCACTTTATTACTTGGTCCCAAAAGAGGAGCATCAATACAGTGGAATTATACATCTTCTTCTCCATTTTGGATGGATGTGGATTGGAGTCTTTACATTCGATAAGAATAAGGGAGAACATTTCTTGCAGAAACTGAATCCGTTGCTTTCCCAAAATGGGATCTGTTTAGCCTTCACACAAAAGATTCCACAGCAAGCCCCATTTGAAGACCTATCAGAATTTCTCGAACTAATCTCAACTATTTCTAATAAGCTGATAGATCAGAAAGCCAATGTTTTCCTTGTCTATGGTGAACCATTCACGATGCTGTGGCTCAGAATTGTTGTGTTTTTACATGATTATGAAAATAAAGAGAGTGCGTCATTTAGGAAGGTTTGGATCCTCATGTTCCCAATTGATTTCACACTGACAGGATTTCAAAGGAGCTGGGATCTCCAGTTGTTCCACAGGGCTCTTTCCTTTATGGTGCATTCAAGAGAAGTTCATGGGTTCAAAGAATTTCTTCAAGTCATCAAACCTTCAATCCACAAAGATGGATTTCTTCAAGATGTTTGGGAGCAATTGTTTGACTGTTCACTTTCAAATGAAAAATTACCCTCAATGGCTGATGAAACTTGTAGTGGAGAAGAGAATTTGGAGAATCTGCCTGCGCCTCTGTTTGAGTTGCAGATGACTGGCCAAAGCTACAGTATCTACAATGCTGTTTATGCCGTGGCACATTCTTTGCATGAGGCAGTGAGATCAAAAGCCCCACACAGAGAAAGTCAAAGGTTTGAATTTCAAGCTTGGCAGGTGATACCTACATGCTACATTTACATTGTACATCTTATTCAAATTTAATTTAACTCTTAATTTAAGTTATTGTTTAAACAAAAATCTATATTTTGAAAGACATTCTCCATAGCAGTACTATTAACGTCTTATTTATGTATCGGAAAATATTAATGTAAATTAGATTAGATTAAATCAGATCTGGATAAGCAACCTGGAATTAAGGAGAAACTTCCTAAGAATGAGGACAATTAACCAGTGGAAAAGCTTGCCACTAGAAATTGTGGGTGCTCCATCACTGGAGGTTTCTAAGAAGAGACTGGACAGTCACTTGTCTGCAATGGTATAGGACCTCCTGCTTGAGCAGAGGGCTGGTACTAAAAGACCTCCAATGTCCCTTCCAGCTCTATTCTGATGAAAGATCAGACCAAACTAGATTGAGATAGATGATAGATAGATAGATAGATAGATAGATAGATAGATAGAGAGATAGATAGACAGACAGATGGACGAGGATGGATGGATGGATGGATGGATGGATGGATGGATAGATAGATAGATAGATAGATAGATAGATAGATAGATAGATAGATAGATGATAGGTAAAATAAGATTATGGATGATGTAGGCTTGATTCATTGTTTAAATAGTGAGTCTATATCATATTCAAAATAGATTGTTTTCATTTTGCTTTTATTGAATGATTCCCCCCCCATAAAATCATTTATAGAGAAGATCTATACAGTTCCATGCAATATAGATTATCAATTTTCCCCATGTAGTTATTTGCGCATTATTGCAAGAATGGGAATAATGAGTAAATAAAATTTGAATAGTATTATTAGCTCCTTCGAACTCCTTCTCTCTTTCATTCTCTTTCAAGTAGCTCCATCCATTTCTTCAAGGCATTTCTTTCAACAATGCAGCCGGGGAAAAAGTGTTCCTGAATGAGAAAGGGGAAAAAACAGGTGGATTCGACATCACCAACTTGATCACTTTTCCAAACAGATCCCTTCAGAAAGTTACAGTTGGAGTCTTAGATCCCAGTGCTCCAAAAGGGAAAGAATTATTTATTGATGAAGATGTGATTGTCTGGCACCCAGCTTTTAACCAGGTATGGACACATTTTTTTTTATAAAAAGGTTTTTTTTTATTTTTTTACACAAACACACACACAAACATACAATGTATTTTTGCTGAACAGAGTATTTGACCAGTTAACAAATTTAAACAGTTTTTAGTCCTTTCAACTAAAATTACAATTTCTATAGCTCCTTTTTGCCATAGTATTTATTTTCATCTATTTTTTACCAATATTACCCTTCATTTTCATCTCTAATTTTAACCAAATTCCATTTTTCCCTTCTATTCTATATTAAACCCCTTCCCATTGTCATCTGTTTTTGTATCCATCATCAAATTAATTAAGTTGTTCAATTCTTATAGGAATAGTAAACCCACTTATTTTATAGCATACATTTCCCTAAATAATACAGTCCAACATTTTAATATAAATCAATTAATTATGTAAATATATTTTCCATTTATATATTCAAACAGGAAATAAAAATAATATAAATGTAGATATTAATTATTTCTACTTTCACCGCAATATGCAATCAAGGTATTTCATTTATTACAATTTCCTTAATTAAATTTAAAATATTGTAGCTGTTATCCTCTAATTCCCTATGTATTATTCCAAATATCACTTAATCATTTCTACACACACCAACATAAACCACTAAAAGTATTTATTTATTTTATTTTTTTATTTTTTTATACCGCCCCCTCTCCTGAAGGACTTGGGGCGGTGAACAGCCAAGATTAAAAAACATACAATATAAACATTAAAATACATTTAAAACAAAATTAAATCCAAAATGGCTCCCCAATTTAAAACGCCTTACCCATGACCCTATAATTAAAATAAATTTAAAATTTCCACATTTAAAAAGGTGGAAGATTTAGGCCAGGCCAGCTTGATGAAATAGAAGAGTCTTAAGCGTGCGGCGGAAGGTGTGCAGATCCGGGATCCTCCGTATCTCCGGGGGGAGCTCGTTCCAGATCGTAGGTGCCCCCACAGAGAAGGCTCTCCCCCTAGGGGCCGACAGCCGACAGCAGACATTTCAATTATTACAATTTAAACTTATTCATATTTCTAAAAAAACCCTGATCATTATCTAAATTTCAGAAATACAAATGATAATATTCCAATTATTATTCAATTCATTTTCACCATCATATGATTTACCATTATTTCTTACTACAATTCATATTTCAGTTCTAGTTATATGCATCATGTTCCTCTTTCATTTTTTTCTCCTTTTCTCTCTTTTCATTTTTATTTTTACCTTTTTCTTTCTCCTTTTTTTCCTTTTGTGCTTTAAAATCCTGATCTCTCCTGTTTTGCCCTATATTTCCCATTGTTCCCCCTCTCTTTTCTCTTTTTTTAATTTCACCAATATTTATCCCACCGTTTATCCCAGTATTATCATTCTGTATTTCAAAGTCCTTGATTCTCCTATTTTGCCCTATATTTCCTGTTGTTTTCTACCTTTTTTCTCTCTTTTTTATCTTTTCATTGTAAATCCCAGTGTAATCATTTAAGTTCTTTATATTCTTTCTGTTCAGGTATGGACACATTTAATGGATTATATTGTGATCCATTATGATATCGTGAAGATGCCTTTTTCCGTAAAGCCATATTGAACATAGTCTCTGTATAAATCTGTACAATTTATAAATATAATTTCTGTTCTTTGAAAGAAGAAAGGCATTACTCTCCATATATATAAAAGTGACATTACAATGAGAACACATTTCATATTTGTGTTGCAATTATTAATTGAAAAGATGTATACCTTTATAAATCAAGTTTAATAAAATTTAATAGCCCTTTGAGAAGTCAAATATTGCTTCCTGCCATAATGAAGAATTAGAAACACTTCTAAAAATCTCCCTTTGCAAAAACCTTTCATGTTTATGACCAGGTACTTCCAATTTCTCTGTGTAATGACCGTTGCTCCCCCGGATACTGGAAGAAAGGAATGGAAGGAAAACAATTCTGTTGCTACGACTGTGTTCCATGTCCAGAAGGGAAGATTTCAAATCAAAAGGGTAAGTGAGACAATCCATCAACTTTTTAAAACTTAGATTAAAGCAAATTGTAATGCACGATGTGTGGATGTGTATAATTAATGGTTTCACAAGTTGTTCAGGCTGAATATACCGTACATTTCTTTACATACGGATTGCAGTCTGTTGTTCAGGAATCAAAGTTTGCCTGTAAGATTCTAAGAGGTAGTCTTCCTAAATACAGGCCCAAATTATATATCCATTAAGCTGTAGGACGCAGAAGCACACTAAAGATTGGTGTAGAGTTCAGGCTAATATCTTGTCTTGATGGTAAATGTAGGCAATTCATTTTGTTCGTTCGACCCAATCTTTTATCTATATATATATATATAAATGGCTCTCTCTCTCTCTCTCTCTCTCTCTCTCTCTCTGTGTGTGTGTGTATATATATATGTGTGTATGTTCCAGCATAACTTTGGAATGCCACAAGCAATTTCAACCAAACTTGGTACACAGATGACTTACTCTCTGGAAAAAAATAATGTCAAATCACAGCATTTGTGACAGTGATAGCGTGAATTTTGGATTCAAGTTCTGTTAAGATACAGCCTGTTGTGCCTTAAAATGGTTTCTACTGTACAGCACAGTGGAGTTGCCATGGTAATGGCTTCACAGTACTCCATAAGGGGGCTCCCTCTGTTAAGGGGAATTGGTTCTTAAATACCCGTGCAATGCCAGGTTATCAGCTCATTTTCAAATAAAAAGACTGATGTTTCTTTAGGTTGCTCACATTTTAGAGTTTAAAATCTAGAAGAGGTTAACAAGATTACATTGATTTGTACTTCAGAGTTAGTACTTCTACTTCTTTTACCATCATAACAGTTTTCTTCTCTGTGCTTTGGAAAAATTAATAAAGCAAAAATGGTCCTTAATGAGTTCAATGTATAATTGACCTTCCCACCTTACTTACAAATTCTAAATGATACAGCAGAGGAAAAACCTTCTGAATGCAGCTCCAAATTATGTATGCAATGAGTGATAGATCTTCTATGATTGCATGATGTTCAACCTCATTTGCATTGGCTGTTCTTTTCCTAAGATTGTTCACTCAGTTAAAAAATATTGTAAGGATATATTTCGCATTTTTAAAAGCATTCTTTCCTGGTATTCCCTATATTTTGATGCAGAGGTGGTATTCAGCTGGTTTGAACTGGTTTGCCTGAACCGGTAGCGGAAATTGCGGGTGGGCCCATCCACACACCCCAGCTCTATGCCATCCAATTTAGGCACGTTTTTGAGCCTGGGCGCATGCACAGAAGGTGCACATGTGAGCAAAGCACATGGTGGAAGGCAGGCGCACAGGGCGAACTGGTAGTAACATAATGTGAAACCCACCACAGTTATTATGATGCCACCTTGATAACTTGTGATCAGTGTCAAGAGCCTTGGTAGTACAGGGGTTTAAGGCATCCTGTTATTAAGCTGGTTATTAAGACCAGCTGCCTGCAATTACTGCAGGGTTCGAATCTCGCCAAGGCTCAAGGTTGACTCAGCCTTCCATCCTTTCTAAGGTAGGTGGAATGAGGACCCAGTTTGTGGGGGCAATAAGCTGACTTTGTATAAATATACAAAAGGATGAAGGCTATTGCTGAGCACATTGTAAGCCGTCCTGAGTCTTCGGAGAAGGGCGGCATATAAATCAAATTAAAAAAAAAGTGTCTAATCATCGTAAGCCCAGATAAATAATGTCTGACCTAATAAATATTTGAGTGGGAGATCACCAGCTAATTTGTATAGTAGGTTGAGAATTATGGGGGAAAAAACTGTGCTGGAAATAGAGAAGAGCAAAGAACATTAGTCTTACCAGAAAACCTACATGTACTTATCGCTCGAATCCATGGGCAGTCATTCAATTCAAAAACTTCTTTATCTGACAAATTCTTATCTTTTCTTCCAGATATGGATGACTGTTTTGAATGTTCTCAAGATCATTATCCAAATAAAGAAAAGAAAGGATGTATCCTGAAACTGCTGGTCTTCTTAGCTTTTAAAGAAACCTTAGGAATTGGTTTGGCCTCAACTGCTCTTTGTTTTTTCTTGTTAACATCTTGGGTACTTGGAATTTGTATTAAGCACAGGGATACTCCCATTGTGAAAGCCAACAACAGGTCCCTCACCTACACCCTGCTTGTCTCTCTTCAAATCTGTTTTCTCTCCTCTTTGCTCTTCCTCAGCCAACCTGGCGAAGCGACCTGCCTTCTCAGACAATCAACTTTTGGCATCACCTTCTCAGTGGCCATTTCTAGTGTCCTGGCCAAAACCATCACTGTGGTTGTGGCTTTCATGGCCACTAAACCAGGATCTCAGATGAGGAAATGGGTGGGGAAAAAATTGGCCTTTTCTATTGTCCTTTTCTGCTCCCTCTTCCAAGTATGTATTTGTAGTATTTGGTTGTTCTCATTCCCTCCATTCCCTGAGTTGGACATGCATTCACAGTCCCAAGAAATGATTTTACAGTGCAATGAGGGGTCAACTTCATTCTTCTATTGTGTCTTGGGCTACATGGGTATCTTGGCCATCGCCAGCTTTATTGTGGCTTTTTTTGCCCGTAAATTACCTGACAGCTTTAATGAAGCCAAGTTCATCACCTTCAGCATGTTGGCCTTCTGCAGTGTGTGGATCTCCTTCTTTCCAGCCTATTTGAGCACAAAAGGCAAAGCCATGGTAGCTGTGGAGGTCTTCTCCATCTTGTCCTCCAGTGCTGCATTACTAGGATGCATATTCCTCCCAAAATGCTACATTATTGTTTTGCGTCCTGACCTCAACCACAGGGAGCAACTCATAAAGACAAAATAGGACCTCATATGATCTCTCTTGCTAAGAAAAAATGCTGACCAAAAAGATTAAAAGACCATTTGCTTTTTATAGGAACCATGTAGTTTGATTTTTGCCAAAGGATTTATGGGGGATTATTATTATTATTATGGTTTCTCACATGGTTAGATGTTCAAATTGACTTTGGCAATTTGTTCCCCATATCAAATCCTTCCCAAGGACCTGGGAATGGCGGATGTGAATGTTTGGTGGTGTTTAAATGTATCATTGCATGTTGTAAGCTTTTCTGAATAAAATTGTTGACTGCTGGTGAATTTGTCAATGCCGATGGTGTTTAAGTGAATCTTCACGTGCTTTGGGATTGCACCCAAAGCACATATTATTATTATTACTACTATTACCTTTGCTTTCTTTTCTCACAGACGTTCTATTTCTATTTGCATGTCTTTGTATTTTGCTGTCTTCTCCAGTTCCTTTTCTTCTATTCTGGTATCTCCTTTTGTTCTTTTTCACAACCCTGTAATCCCTTGCATCGGGGTGGAGTCAAGGCCACTTAATGGAGCTGACCATTTACTGGCCAGATGCTATTTGTGATGCCTATGCAGAGCTCACAGCAGATATTTTCTGTTTGTTCCCAGAGAGAGAAGTATCTGTGTGTTCTGAACCAGTTTCCCAAAGATGACAAACTTTCTGTATTTAAATCAATGATTCCTTTATTAGGAGCACCAGAAGCCCCAGCAAAAAGTTTATCTATGAACGCAAGCTAACAAGTCTGTCTGGCAGGGAAATGAATAGTTTGACAGCAGATACCTGTCAAAGAAGCCCTGTCATCAATTAGGTATCTGCTGTTTCATATGTACAGAACTCATACCATTTCATACAAATAATAAAAAAGCAACACATAAAAGAAAATGACCTTCTTGTAAGCTTCGATGTTGTATCACTATTCACACAAATACCTGTCAAAGAAGCCCTGTCATCAATTAAAAACAAATATCAACTACCAAAACATATCACAGATTTAACAGAACATTGTTTATCCAACACATATTTCATACACAGAGGACAGAGATATAAACAAGTAGAAGGTGCACCAATGGGATCACCATTATCACCAGTCATCGCTAATCTTTTCATGGAAGAATTCAAATCCAATGCTTTAGAAAAAACTGTTAACAAACCAAAATTGTGGCTCAGATATGTTGATGATACTTTTGTGATCTGGCCACATGGAAGAGATAAACTGGAAAACTTCTTAGTATATTTGAACAGCCTCCATCCCAAAATAAAGTTCACCATGGAGATAGAACCAGAAAACCAGTTACCTTTCCTCGATGTATTAATTTATAAAAAATCTGATGGCACCTTAGGACATACCATCTATCAAAAGAAGACACATACGAACCGCTATCTCAACGCCAAATCACACCACCATCCAGCACAAACAAACTCAGTTGCCAAAACATTAACCACAAGAACTAAACGTCTGGCTGATGAAGCACATTTACAAACAGAATTATATACACTAACTAATGTACTGACATCAAATGGGTTCTGTAGAAATAAAGTCATCAATATGATCCAACATACAACACCTAGACAGAAGAAAAAACAACAAGAGGAACAAAACAATGGGAAAGCCATCTTGCCCTATATAAGGGGAACAACAGATAAAATTATCAAAGTACTACATAGACACAACATCAAAACCATATTTTGCACAGATAGAAAGATATCGTCCATTCTGAGAAACCCTAAGGACAAAATAGAATTAGAAAACCAAGGCATATACGAAATCCCGTGTGCTTCCTGCCCATCAACATACATTGGACAGACCAACAGAAGAATGAGTGTGCGCATCGAGGAACACAAAAACTCAATACAAAAGCAAGAACACACATCATCATTAGCTCAACACATAAATACAACAGGACACAATATTAATTTTAATAAAACAAAAACAGTTGCAAAAATAGAACATCTCAATGGCAGAATAATCAGAGAAGCAATTGAAATAGAGAAAAGACCATATTGCATGAATAAACGGGATGACACTTCACGTCTGCCTACTATTTGGAAACCTGCTCTCATAGATGGACGAATCTTAACACCAAATATAAATCAGATCAAGCATTAATCAAAAAACATGTACAAATCCCAACCAAATCATATTCAAACCAGCCACAAAGATGAAGCCCTGCCACCTAGTGGAGAAAAACCGACCATACACCCGAAGCCAAGCCAATAAACACATACTGGGACTCCCAACCAATCAGAATGAAAAGATGGAGCCATCCCAGAATACCAGCACCAGATTTGAAATAGTAATGGCAGTTACTGCAAAAGACTCCTCACATAAGCCTGATGATAGCAGATGGGATTCTGTCGAAACGTCGCTTCTACCCTTTTAGGGATATATCCACAATTACACGGGAAGAAACCCGAAATATTAACTATATATATATATATATATATATATATACTTAATATTACTATAACTATATATATATATGGTTACATGCCAAATACTTCACCTATGTTTTACTCTCAAGACATGTCTAAAACATTAAATATATAAAATATATATTAGATTAAATATAACATACATTAAAAAATATAATAATTTTGTGGCCAAAACAAAACTTGAAAAAATGTTAAGAAATAACTGAGGCTATCATCAGACCCCAGGAGGCCACAGATAGAGGGTTTGCAGAAGTAAGTTCTCTGAACTGGAAAATTTTTAAGATGAATTCCTTTCTTTCATATCAACTGAGGTCCCAATAACTATTAAGGTGAGCCCCTGCCCCTGCCCTCCCCCTTTTTAGCCTTTTTTAGTCTTTTTTAGTTTTTTAGCTTTTAAATTGTCAACAGGTTTTAATTCAAATTGTTTTAAATTTGGGGCAAAGTTATGTAATTCTTTTAATAATTTTAAATTTTGTATTGGTATGTGTTTTAGTTCTGGCTGTGCACTGCCCTGAGTCCATTAGGAGAAGGGCGGTATACAAATTGAATAAAATAAATAAATAAATAAATAAATCTTCCATTTATCAGTAGGTATACTGGCACATCTGGGAAAACCCGAATCTGAGAGTTCTGGGTTTTCCTTCGGTAAATCAAAATCCCAAATCCAGTCCCTGCTTCCACACTGTCAACTACATGTTGAGTGCTGTTGATCAGACAGTTACAAATCTATCTGGTGGTGATGCTGTCTAACTCATATTTTTCTTTTTTATCAAGTAGTAGATTGTGGCTTACTTTATCAAATGCCTATTTTATAAAGAGCCTTGGTAGTACAGGGGTTTAAGGCACCCTGTTATTAAGCTTATTAAGACCAGCTGCCTGCAATTACTGCAGGGTTCGAATCTTGCCAAGGCTCAAGGTTGACTCAGCCTTCCATCCTTTCTAAGGTAGGTGAAATGAGGACCCAGTTTGTGGGGGCAATAAGCTGACTTTGTATAAATATACAAAAGGATGAAGGCTATTGCTGAGCACATTGTAAGCTGCCCTGAGTCTTCGGAGAAGGGCGGCATATAAATCAATTTTTTTTAAAAAAATGCAATTTATATCTGCAGCATTGCCTCAGCATTTTCACTAATTTTCCACTAATTTTATCACTAGTCAGCTCAAGACAACATGCAACAGACTGGAAGATTATTCATTGCATTTGACTATGCATCCAGAATCAGATTCATCACTCTCCTTCTGGTCAACTTAAGGAAAAAAGTAATGGGACATGAATACAACATCGCAATGCCTATGGGAAAGGCTCAGGCATTGAATGAAAATACTGCTGTCATTCATCTGCCTTCCTAAGACACATGCTCAAACATACACCACACTAGATGTACGGCATATTTCTCCTGAATTGTCTTCAGATATAAAGATTTTTTTTTATCTAAGACCATTTGGAACAACTATTACTTTTTCCCCAAACAATAGTAATTAAAATAGTACATTGGGATTAGGTCACATAATTTCCAGCAGTGATGTTTTTTTCTCTAGATTGGGTACAAACCTTGGATGTAATTCCCCAAGCCCTCCCCCAAATGACCAAGTAATTCTAAAGTTTAGAATAGAATAGAATAGAATAGAATAGAATAGAATAGAATAGAATAGAATAGAATAGAATAGAATAACAGAGTTGGAAGGGACCTTGGAGGTCTTCTAGTCCAACCCCCTGCTTAGGCAGGAAACCCTACACCACTTCAGACAAATGGTTATCCAGCATCTTCCTTAAAACCTCCAGTGTTGGAGCATTCACAACTTCTAGAGGCAAGTTGTTCCACTGACTAATTGTTCTCAGTGTCAGGAAATTTCTCCTTAGTTCTAAATTGCTTCTCTCCTTGATTAGTTTCCACTCATTGCTTTTTGTCCTACCCTCCGGTGCTTTGGAGAATAGCTTGACTCTCTCTTCTTTGGGGCAGCCCCTGACATGTTGGAACATGGCTATCATGTCTCCCCTAGTTCTTCCTTTCATCAAACTAGACATACCCCATTCCTGCAACCGTTCTTCATATGTTTTAGCCTCCAGTCCCCTAATCATCTTTGTTGCTCTTCTCTGCACTCTTTCTAGAGTCTCCACATCTTTTTTACATTGTAGCGACCAAAACTGAATGCAGTATTTCAAGTGTGGCCTTACCAAGTGTGGCATTATAAAGTGGTATTAACACTTCACGTGATTAATGAGAAAGAAAGTAAGAGATCATATGAGAAATCTAAATATTGGTTTAATGGGTATAGTCACATTTTTTTTGAGGATTGTTATAACAAGGGATATTCCTCTGTCCTGGTCCTATTAGATCTCTTGGCGGCTTTTGATACCATCAACCATGGTATCCTACTGCGACGCCTTGAGGGGTTGGGAGTGGGAGGCACTGTTCTATGGTGGTTCTCCTCCTACCTCTCTGGGCGTTTGCAAACGGTGTTGGCGGGGGGACAAAGGTCTGCCCCGAGGGCCCTCACTTGCCGGGTTCCTCAGGGGTCAGTCTTCTCTCCCCTTCTGTTCAAATCTATATGAAGCCTCTGGGGGAGACCATCCGTGGTTTTGGGGTGGGGTATTATCAGTATGCTGATGATACCCAACCTTTTATATCCACCCCGAATCAGTCCAGTGATGCCCTTGACGTGATGTCCCGGTGCCTGGAAGCGGTGCAGCTCTGGATGGGGAGGAACAGGCTTCAGCTCAACCCTGCCAAGTCAGAGTGGCTGTGGATACCGGCATCTCGGTTCCAAGGGAATATTCCATCGCTGGTTATAGGGGGTGAAGTGTTGCCCCCTGTTGATAAGGCGCGCAACTTAGGCAT